TTGGTGGATAGCTGTTACTCTGATTTGTCTGGCTACTTAAGTATGGCTCAAAATCATCATCATTTACAGCATCTTTTTCATGAATGGAACCATTTTGTACTGAAACTTTACTTCCTTGCCCTTTAGGTCTTCCCGCCCCTCGGGTCCGCCTCCGGAGCTCGCCGGGCTCAGTCGCGTGTCCTAAAGCCCGAGAGCAGTGCGTCCTCCCCCGCCCCGTGGCGGCGGCCTCCCTCCTCCCCAGCCCGCAGACTCAGGGCTAATGGAGGGGTATTTCCTAAACACACCATCTGGTATATAATGATGTCCTCCATTACTCATTTGTCCATAAGTTGTCAGATATGGCATAGGTTGGTCTCCAGTTGTGGACCATGCTGCTTCCCCAAGAGAATATAGAAATCCAATGGATGGAGCATAGTAACTAGGCACGTATGGATCTGACATTGGTGGATAGCTGTTACTCTGATTTGTCTGGCTACTTAAGTATGGCTCAAAATCATCATCATTTACAGAAAGTATCATTGCCAAATACAGCCTGTCCATCAGTAATAGTTCTCCCAAAAGAACTAGGTGGATAGCCATAACTGCTGCTATAAGCAGAACTTTACGTTGATTGTCCCTGAGATCCACTTGTCCCCCACATAGAGAAAACAGCATTACCAGGAAAAAAGTTAAATCCATGCTGACCAAGAAATGGAGGGGTATTTCCTAAACACACCATCTGGTATATAATGATGTCCTCCATTACTCATTTGTCCATAAGTTGTCAGATATGGCATAGGTTGGTCTCCAGTTGTGGACCATGCTGCTTCCCCAAGAGAATATAGAAATCCAATGGATGGAGCATAGTAACTAGGCACGTATGGATCTGACATTGGTGGATAGCTGTTACTCTGATTTGTCTGGCTACTTAAGTATGGCTCAAAATCATCATCATTTACAGCATCTTTTTCATGAATGAAACCTTTTTGTACTGAAACTTTATTTCCTTGCCCTTTAGGTCTTCCCGCCCCTCGGGGTCCGCCTCCCGAGCTCTCTGGGCCGCCCTTGGGACGCGTCCTAAAGCCAGAAGAGCAGTCTGTCCTCCCCCCTCTCTGGGGCCCGTGGCCCGTGGC